TGGGTTCCCCCAGCCTTGGAGGGCCTGTGGACACTCTGGCAGATGGATTTCCTGCTCCTAGCAGAGGGGTGGAAGGCTGCTCTATGCACTGAGCTACCGAAGAGGGGCACACACTCCACCTCCAGTTTTTGAAGGAAAGGTTTCAGCCACTCACCTGCCAACTCAGCTTTGGAACAGAGTGGTAAGTGCTAAAGAGCGTGAGCAATAGTTAGGATGGACATCTTAGACAGCATAAAGGACAGCATTATGTGCTGGGCAGACTGGATGATTCATCCTGTAGCTCTCTGACAGTGGTCAACAAGCACATGGGCAAAGGAGAGGCACCTACCCTTTCCAGGTTTGAAGAGGATCCTGAAAAAATCCTACTCCAAAGAGCCTTACATAAAATAGACTGACAGGGAAAGTGCTGGAACGGATAAAAGGCTCAGTACAGGATAGGAAACTAATGAGGAGTATACACAGCAGTGGGGGAAGCAGCCAAAGCTCTGCAGAGGTTTGTGCTGGGATCTGCAACTCTTCACCATTAACCACGGCTACCTCACCACGGGAGTGAGCCACAAGGTGACAAAGGTGACAAAGTTTCTTAATGATGTGAAGCCAGGCAGGTCAGCAAGGGCAGTGGCCAGCAGCAGGGATGAGGGACAATGTGACTGGGTAACATATTGGCAGATGGAGGAGTGTGCTGATAAAGAGGTGCAGGTGGGAGTAAACAAACCCACATGCTGCACCTCATGATGGGCTCTGGCCACCAGGGATTGTGAGCTCTTCACAGGATGCTCCATAGAAAAGGGCAACTCATTGTTCAAGAGAAGTGAAAAAAACAAAATAACTGCCAAAAATTGCAACAAAGCAGAAAAAAATCTTTTTCTACATCTGGGCAAGCTGCAGCTCTCAGCATACCCACACTGTGAGAGATGAATGGCTAGAAAATACATGCTCCTGTTCAGTTCCACCAAGCTGGAGGCAGGACCCGATGGACTTTTGGTCAGGCCCATATGGCAGCTGCGTGGGAGTTTTGAGGAAGCTGCTCCTGGATTCCTCCAGGAAAGCTGTGAGTCCCTGTGGGTGGCTGGTGTGTGGGACTGTAACACAGCACTAGAATGACTTTGGGTTTGCTCACAGTTCCCCAGTTTTCCAACCATGGTTGGGGCTGAAGGTCTAGAAGATCAGTACTCTGTTTTTTATTGAATAGCAATTAATGTATCACAATGGAGAAATGACAAAACCACATAAAACCTTATTAAATCAGGTTTTAAATTAGAATATTTGGTCAACACAGCATTGCATAAATGGATTTTCAGATGCTATTTGAGAAAAGTTTAAAGTGCTTTCTTTAAATACTTTGCTCTTACAGTATGAGATAAAAATAATTTTACTTAATTTGATCATGAAATAGAATTACTAAATTTAGAATAAATTAATAGAGAAAATAGTTTTAAAGTCCACAATAGAATTATTTTAAAGAACAAACCTAGGGTAATAACCCAATTAATCAGAAGGTTTGAATTTGCTTGAGGCTGCAGAATAAGGGATATAGGTATATGAAAATAGGGAAAATTGCATGAACAAAAACTCAAACCAAGGAAAAAGCATTCTGAGTTCAGACCCTCTTCTGCTATTGAAATTCTTAGTATAAATTAACTAATTATTAAAGTGTTACAATAATCTGTGCAGGCCACTCGACCTTGTCTGATCCTCTTTCTTTAACTCCAGCAGAGTAGAAAATAGGACTTTTGGTGGAAATCTGTCCCATATCACTGATATCACCAGATCATCCATATACCTTGATTTGTATCAAATAGGCCCAAATTTCTTGTAGCAGGTATTCTCATATCCTGAAGTATAATTCACAGATAGAGTGGGTTTTATCACTGATGGTTAATATATATTAATTCCTGTTTTATCCTGTGCTAAATATTATATCTAAACCTGCTAAGAGCTGGAATTAAATAATCTCCACATATTTTTGAAGACATGCCAAATTCTCCTCCCTAGCATACATATGCCCTTCTGCCTCTGTCAAATGTGCCAGCAAGGCTTTCTGCAAAATATTCTAATTCCTGTTAGTGATATATAAAGAGGACCAAAAAGTTATCAACTTCATACTGCAGCAATTTGGACTTTAATCCATTTTATTAATCTTCAGAGGCAGCTACCTTGAAATTCCATTAGAAGTGCTGCATTCAAATGGGCCTGATTATGATATTCTACACTGATTTTTGAGGTGAGGATTTCCCCAAATACTGTCCTTCTTATTATTAATTAGAATTCATTACCAGAATCCAGAGTGAAAATGGAAGATACTGGGTGCTTTTTACAGTAGCAGCATCATGGGACTGGAAAGTAGCCATGTGCAAGGAGTAACCCTGATTATAAGTTACGTGTTCTTGATATTATTCTGCATTCCCTTTGTGAATAAAAATTGGATTGAATCTTACAGTGAGTCACCTGGCGAGGTCACTGGGAGTTTTAGCACTTACTTTGAGGGGTTATGGAAGCAGAACTGCTATTAGAACAACAATCAGATATGAGCAAAACTGTATTCTGGGCAAATTTTGATCAGTCTGTTCAAATTTCAGACTGAACAAAGGGTTGAGAGATGGTAAAAAACCAGTCTGGATTCTCTGCAGGAAGCTACTGCAATAATTATCCAGGCATTTGAGTGCTACATATCTTTCTTGAGTAATAGTTTTATCTACAAGGGAATTCAATTACTTACATACTAATATAAAGAGCACATTTATATCAATGCATATATACAGGAGATAAGTGAATTCATGCTAACTGTGGAGGCACTGCTGACTGCACTTTATCAAAAACAAGCCAACGTTCTTTCACTCTTGAGGAGCTTTCAAAAACTCAGAGCTGCCTGGCTTTCAAGTAAGCACAGTTTTAGACAGAAGACTCTCCTGTAGCCCATTGGTTTCCTCCACAGTAAATTCCAACTTCACCTGATTTTTCTCCTAGAAGCTAATGGTTTAACCTGCTATTGAATGTCAAACACAATGCATTTCTTAGGTCCTAAGTTCAGATCAAGGTAGTTGGAGCAGTCAGAGATAGTCTGTTCTCTGTCAACCAATAACTAGATACTAGTGGGTACTTGACATGGACTCGAGGGTGCTCACAGTGGTTGGAGCAATGCATATATATCCACAGAAGTCCCCACATGATTGACTCAATGATCCCCTGGAAGGAAGAAGAGATGCCTCCTCACCTCTCAGCAGCACACTCATCAAAAGCTGAGTCTCCTTTAAAATAGACAGGTTTGGCTAGGCCCACGTGGGCACTGAGGTACTCAGTGTAACTCCATGCGAAAATACATTGCACACAAAAATTCTAGTTTCTATTTTCTCTCTGATACTTGCCTCATCCTCTTTGCAGTGAGAAAGGCTTTTGCAACCCACCATTCCTCACTTGTTTCAGTCAGCTACAGAAGACAGACTCATGCCTTTTTCAGTCACAAGTTGAATATTACTCTTACTGAGAGTTGTGCTAGGGAATTTGAGGTGATTGTGGAAAAGGCATTTCGAGCTCTTACCTCCTCACTTCTGTACTTTTCATGACTGAATGACAAGACTTACAGGGTTCACACTTGTTTGGGTTTGAGGAGGCTTAGGGTCAGAAGTAGTGAAACTGAACTAAATGTATACCTAACACTTCCAGAAGAGCCAACATACAACTTTTGTATGACCAAAGGGTGCTTGATCTTGTGTCAAAATTCATGCCTTGAGTAGAGCTCACAAAATTTCCAGGCTGGGTACCCCTGCATTATGTCCAGATAGAGGAGATCCAAGTGTTTGGAACCAGGCAGCTAACATGGGAGATCAGGTACCTGATTTCTCCAATAGATGGTGGGCAACTCTGCCTAGAGGCAAGCCAGCTCTGCACTGCTGAAAACACCTTGTTTCCTGTTGCCTTTGATCTTGTGCCGCAGTGGCTGTCAGCAAAGCTCTGTGAAGACTACAAAGTGAACCTACTCTTTCATTGGCCAAATTCCTGCTTCTGCAGGATGCTATCCAGGTCTGCAGTGGCATCTCACAGTTTATAATTAACAAAGATTAACTAGGCTGTGGACGAAAGGTTGGCAGTGGCGCTCCAGCCACGCGGAGAGAGCTGCTTACTACATAAGTGAATGTGCTGTTCTGAGTATGATGTGCTAGGAAAGGAACAACATAAATAATCCTATATATGAGCCTTGTTGCTGGGAAATTGCTGGGGAATACATGTTGAGCTAACTTAGACTTTTATGTTGAACTAGGAGTCTTTTTGGAACCCTGCCCTTATACTGAGCTACAAATCCTACAGTTTACGATTGTCAGCCATCAGGAAAGAAGGACAAAATTCCTTTTACAAGATTTATAAAATTAAAATACAGGAGACAGTGAATAATGCATTCTGGTGACTTCATATTTATTTTTTACTGGTTCTTGTTCCAACTTCTCATGGGAGAAGCCTATAATTAAATAGGTGGATTAGTAATCTGCTTATTTTTTGAAAGCAAATGCCTAAATTGATTCAAGATGACTACAAAAGGCACCTTACTTCATTTAGGGATAAGTGGGTGAAATGTAATGGTCTGTGATCTATGGAAGGACTGAGAAGATGATCCAATGGATGCTGTCATTCTTAAGTTCCATCATTGTAGGTGAAACTGCCGTTCTTCCGTTGTGTGTACATACTGTCTCATTTCAGCCACTGAAGTAAGGAAGCTTAGATAAATCTTTCATAACTTCTCTTTCTGCTTTGTGATGCATTAAAACTCCTGCTCTGGCATTAGTTTAGTAACATCAAAATGGTCTTATTTTATTTTTGTATCATTTGAGGAGGGGACACAGTGCAGAAGTAACGAGTCACCTCCAAACCTATAACTCATGAGTTTTCACAGGTGAGATAGTAGACAAAATAACCAGGGGGGCATGATCAGCTAGAGGGACTCCCCAGTGAGTAAGCTAGCACAGCTAAGAGCAGCTTAAAGCCTAAGAAAGCATGGTGCCATTTGGGAAGTGAGCCAGGTGTTATGTAACAAGAAACTCCTCACGCCTTTGGAACAAGATCTTGGCTATCTGCTCAAATATGCTGTTGTACTAACTGAAAATACTGCAAGGAATACAAAAATTGGGCAAAAGCTGCCTTGGGCCAAAGCCAGAGTGTAATTACTGTCCATGTGTACTTAACACTCAGTACCCACGGAAGAAGGCACTGCTTTTCTGTCAGCTGAGTAAGTGACATTATCCTGCGGTAATGGGGTGCGTGCTGGTAGATCCAAGGGAGAAGCAGACACACAGCAAACCTAAAATTCCCATCCATGTGAATTTGTCACCGTCACTGTCACCAGTTCTGGTCAGGAGAAGGAGGAAACTGCTACCATAGCTAAGGAGCAAGATCTGGGTGGGTTGAGGTGCCCTGACTGCTCACACTAAACATAAGTGAATACTTTCAAAGTTAAGTCCTCCATGCAGAAGCCAACACAAATTCCTTGCCAAGGCTGCTTCACTGGGGAAGCACACCCAAACCCACAGCCCTGGCTGAACCACCAAACCCACAGCCCTGGCTGAGCCACACCAGCCTCTCTTGCTCACCAGCTGCTTCTGTTTTCTAGGATGCATGAGCACTGCATAGTCTGTCATGTATGGCTTTCATGGGAAAAAGACCAATGGCCACCAAATCTTGCTTCTACAGTTGTGAAGTCCTGGGTGAGATGTTTACACAGCCTACTCTTTTGCTCAGTTGTACAAGCATTGCCTGACTACCAAAACCTTTGGATGCCACCAGCAGAATGCTGCTAATAGTTACACAGTACTTATTCAGAAATGCATTTATGCAGCATTTGAGCTTATTTCCCAAAAAGAAAGCTTTGGTCACTGATTTCAATAACTAAGGCTTCTCTGACCCCTGTTGCATCTATTCATAGCCCTCTCATGGCCACAAAGATATGTGTGGAAAGTTTGGGGGTCCATTCCTATCTGCTGCAGGTCTTTTCTTGCCTGCTCTGTCAAAAGATGTGCTGCTTGTTTTTAGGCAAGTTGCTTCATTCTGCAGTTTCTCAGCTGCTCCATCTGCAAAATGAGGATAATAAGAATCTCCTCTCTTAAAGAAGCCGACTGCTTCTCATGGAAGTTTTTGCTATGCTTGGGATCTTTGGTTTGTGCTTGCTAAAGAAGTGAAAAAGATTTATTATTAAAGCAATTACAGTGTTGATACGCTCGTGATGAATTCCCTGCAGGCATGCAAAGGTACTAAAGGCCAAATTTATTTCTCATTCATACTTATACAAGTTCCCTGCAGCTCCAGCAATGCAGGCAGGGTTACTCCAGCTGAACATGTGGTTCATCTGCTTCTACGGCAACTCAGTTTGGAATATCACCAGTCACTCATTCCTGACAGAACAGTGCAGAGGAAATGTGCTACAGGGGTGGCTGCAATAGCATTTCCTTGTTGCTGAAAGCCTGAGAATAAGCAGCTCCTAGTAGGGGCTAATTAAGTGGAGGATGTGTTTTCTCTGGTGTGATGATTGTTCTGCAGTTCTTTGTCAAAGCTGATGCTACCTGTCTCTGGAAGATCTTCAGATGCAGAGCAAGAATGGAGATATCTACCTTCCTGGGGAAGAGAAGTCAGTCCTCAAAGGACACTGTGCTTTCATGTACAAAGAGGGTGAACCAGTCAATTGGCTGGTCTGAGAGGAATGGCCACTGCAGTGTGGACAGAAATTGGTGAGAAAAACAACAACAGAAGGAAGAACAAGCACAAATCAGGCACCAAGCACACATTTCTCAAAATATGAAGGGTGTACAATGGTACCAGGCACAGAAAACACATGGTATGGTTGTTACTGCCTGCCTGAGCAATGCATGTAGACACAGTTGTCTTTAAAAGTGCTGGTACAGCAGGCTCCGAGCATACTGATGATTCAATCTCTGAAATAATTCGAAATGGCAGTCACGCTTCTGAAGGCACAAAGTCCTTATCTTCCTTTTAAAGCAAAGAAGTCACTGCACCGGCAGGAAAATACAAGGAATGCTGGAGGGCTTTACAGCAATGCATATCAATGAAAGGCTCCTCTTGGCTAACCATCCCAGAATGAAACATATTCCTAGTGGTTCTGCCAAAGATCCTTGAAACCCTTTGATGGTGGTTGATAGGGGAGAAAATAATCCTAACTGTGAAGCAGATTAAAGTTTTTGTTGTCTTGCTCTTAGCATTGTCTATGCCTTTGCAATGGACTTGGACTACCAGAGGAAGGCAAATCTTTGCCAGAGGTACGGCAGCCAGGCCAAGAGAAGTCAGCAGTCCACAGTGTGCCAGCTGTCTCACTTTATTTTTGCCTATAACTACATATTTTTTTTTATATGGCTTTAACACCAGCTAGCAAAATTAGTCAACGTTAGCCTGAAAGGAAATGCTGTCAATTGGTTTGGGAAAGGAAGCTCTCAAACGGAGCCAGTCTGTTTTGTAAAAGAGAAGGAAAGAAACTCCAGGCAACCATCAAGGCAATTTAGATTTTTGCCACTGATGGTAAAGGAAAAAGGAGTCTGAAGTAAAGAAGGGAAAGTCCAACTAGGTCAGCAAAGTCCCTGGTGGGCAGCAATAGGGTATCTGAGAGCTGGTATGCAGAGCAGACATGGAAATGCTTGAAAGGATTCAATTTTATGGCACAGTGAAAGATTGTCTCTCCTTCTGTTTCTATATAAGGTAGGTAATAAACTGTATTTGAACTGGTAAAAGAGGAATGAGATGACCCACATTTCAAAGCTGGAACCTGGTAGGTTATTATTATTTATGATTCATAAAGCTTGTGCAGTGCACCAAAAGAAAGGGAGGCGAGCTCCTAGCCCAGAGGAGCCTCCAGTGCAAACCTCGAGAGAAACACTCTACTGTGCATGGGGTCAACTCCAAGGGCTTTTTTAAAATTCTAATTACAGTGTAATGAAGATCAGGCCTGCTCTTTCCATCAGAAAACTGGGATCTCTTTTCCTATCTCTGCAGTAGGTGGTTTTTATATTATGGGAATGCAACAGCTGAATATTCTGTGAACTGAAATAAGAACCTTCAGGTACCCCTTACTTTCCACTCTTGCTGCTTTTAGTTCCTTTCCTCCTCTTGCACATTTCTGCATTTTCTCACTTTCTGCTCCACAGAGCTTTTGCTACCATTTTTTTTTCCTTTATTAATTTCTCAGCTTTTCAGTATTAGTTTTTTTCCTTTTCATGAGCTTTCTCTGGAGTCTCACATTCACATTTTATGTCTTGCCATTCAATCATTCCCTTCTTTTAGCTTTTCTTCCTCTTTGCCTCACTCTTCTCATCCCTTTTCTGCCTCTCCTCCTTCCCTTCCCCCCGGCCAACCTTCTCCTTTCACCAACACCATTTTCTCAATCAATACCCCAGTGGTATCCCCCAAACCAGCAGCTTTCCCTTTGCTCTTCCTTCAGGAACAGAGCTCTCTATCCATCCTTCAGACAGGCTCTTCTCCCTGACCTGCACCCTGCCTTCGCATTACCCCTCCACCTCTAGGACAAGGCTTACAGGTCTCTACCCAAGAAAACAGCTCCTCACCCTCCGATTTCTCCAGGGAACCCTTCTGAGCACATCAGTGTCCTTTTCAAGGTCCCCGGCCGTGATCCCTGAAAGTCTTCAAAGGCCCCAGTGGTCCCTAAAGGTCTGCCAGCCCCCACTGCTCTTTGGCTCTTACATCCCTCCTGGCCATAAGACTCCAACTCCACGGCTACCATGCAGCCGGACCGGCACACAGAGGTGAGGACAGATGGCTGGAACACGGGGCTGCGTTCCTCACATCGGGAGAACAAATCTGCCGAGCATCCTCCTTCCCTCCTGCCAAGGGTCCTGCATGGCAGATACTTGCCCACAGGTTTGGGGGCTGCTCCCGCGTCCCGAGGGGAGGTGCGGAGAGATGCTCTGCCTCTGGA